GGAAGAGCGCGACCGCGGCAAGCGTTACCGAAGAGGAAAGTCTGCGGACGCAGGGGGCCCATGCTCTCCATGTCCATGGCGCTGTCTTCCATCGCGGGGCTGTGGCGCGACTAACCGAAGGTGCTGCGCTGCGGGCGGACGCGCACTAAAGGAAGCGCCGTGCCCGCCCACTCGCTGATATAGCTTCGCGTTCTCGCGAGAGCGGCGCGCCGGGCCCGCCCCTCGGCCCCGCGCGCCGCTTCCTGCGCATGCGCACGCGCGGACGGTGGTCGCGCGCGGAGCCGGACGGGCCGCCAGGGGGCGCCGCCATGGAGCCGGGGCCGTGGGAGGGGTCCGGGCCTCCGCCGTGGAGCCGGGGCCGTGGGAGGGGTCCGGGCCGCCGCCGTGGAGTCGGGACCGCCGCCGTGGAGCCGGGACCGCCGCCGTGGGGCCGGGCATCGCAAGCTTCCCCTGCACGCCCGCCCCACACGTGGGGACAGCGATGAGGGGCGCGGCCTGGCACAGGGCCTGCAGCCCCAGCAGCCAGAGCGGCTCCGCTGGCCCGAGAGCCCTGCTGCAGTGGAACGTGCTCTCCTCACTCTGTGCCGGGAGCTGATTGCTGCTGTCAGCTTTGACTAAAATAACAAATTAAGGAAAGCAGCCCGTTTCCTGTGCATTACCTGTTAGGATGAGCTCCCATCCCGAGCTACTGCTTCCTTTGCCACTGGCTCTGAAGGCCAGGTGTGTGATGGGAGCAAACCACTTTTTAATGTGAATTAGCACATGGGGAAATGTGTCGCAGCAAAGTTAAAAGTCACAGGGTTATTTTGTCCTTAGAGCTACCAGCCCTGGAAAGACTTGTTTGCCTCAGCAGTGGGAGCCCATCTCTGGCCCAGGGCTGGGCTCACCATCCACACATTCCAGGCCATCGTGTCCAGCCCCTGTTCTGCACAAGTCAGGTCCCTTGTGTGCTGATCTCACACTTACCTGAACACTTACTCTTCAAAAATAAAAGTATACAGGCTCTTGGTGCTCTTACGTCTCCACTGACTTGAAATGCATAACTTGTGTTACCTTCACATTCATAAAGGAACAACATTAAATGATGCTGCTGAAAATGACACAAACTGAAGTGAAGAATAACTGACACAGTGGGAAAATTAAACTTACCCTGTCAAAGTGTCCTCTTCCTCACTCTCCCACGAAGCTGGCCCCTTTTCAAACAGCAAATGCAGTTCCGCAGGATACACATGCAGCTTAGTTTTGAGTGTAAAGTCTCCTATTCAGAAAATACAATTCACTTTTTCAAATCTGAGATCAGCTGAGCGATGGTTTCACCAGGATATGATCCCCTGCAATCCTATTAACATTAGGGCAGGTTGTCCACTGAGGTGTTTCAGGTGGATTGCCACAGGCTGACTAAAATTCAATAACAGTTAAATTGTGTGTGAAAACAAGGTACAGAAATACCAGAGCACAGCCTAGAATATGAGCGAGGATGGATATTGTGTGATTCTGTGATTTACTCCCCTTACAATCTCACAAGGAACCAGAGAACAAGCAGTGTTAATTTCATTTTCTAACATTTGGTTTGGTTAATCTCTTATTATCTTTACAAAGTAATTGCTGCTGAGGGTGGTCCTTAGGGTAGGAAGAGTGGCAGCTATGGAGAAGATCCACGCAGGGATGTGTGGAGCAGCAGAGGCAGAAATCCCACAAAGTGCAGAGGCTGGTGACCCTGGCAGAGAGAGGCAGCATTAACTGATCAGATATCTCAGCCCTAAGAGCTGTGCAGATGCAGATGAGGCATTTGTTTGGTTTGGCTTGAGAAATGGGAACTAGTATCAAACTTTCAAATGAAGTTGTGGCATGACTGAGATGTCAGAGTGGAGCTGGAAGGTGAATCCTACACAGTAACAGTGGAAGGGAGTGAATTACAGTTACCTGGTGTAATGCCAAGAGGAGGACATGACTGCTGGCCAAAGCCACCCAAAGCCCTGCCCCCAGGGCACCAAGCAGCTCACAAACTGCAGCTGCAGAGGTGCACTCCAGTCTGCTGAAGGGAGCAGTGCAACCGCAGCATGTCCTCCTGTGTGCAGTCACTTTTAATTCAATTACAGTCCTCCATTATGGAGGAAATAAATGTGGGAGGAAACAAAGGACAGACACAGAGAAGCAGAACAAGGGTAGGAAGTAGGAGATATATGTTTATTGTGTCTTGTTTGGCTCCATAGGGCTTTGGAAGGGCTGTCATATATCATTACATTTATTATTTCTGCCATGGTACTACAACAAGAAGTCCATTACAATATTGATCATTTTACTTTGCTTGGCTCTGTGCAGTGTAAAGCTCGGCATAGCAGAAAAGGCTTACAGGTGATTTAGAAACCGCCATACAGGGACAACTAGGGGAAAATCAGAGTTTCCCTTAATGGAGTTCTCTTCTTAGTGAGCTTTTACAAGACTTGGGAAATTTTATTTTAAGCATGGTTAAAACCACAGCACAGTTGTATTTGAGCAATCAGAAGCTACAGAGACAATAAAGATTTCCTATGCAATCTTAATTTACACGCTGACATAATGAAATAATCTTCAGCTGCCCTGCCCCATGGCTATCACATAACCTCTCTATGGGGCTCCTCCTCCCTTCATTAGTCAACAGTTTCTGTCATGGTGAACTAAAGGCCAGAATCTTAACTGGCATCAAAACAGCCTTCTTAATCTCAAAAAGAGATCACTTGCACACCAGAAAATCCAAATATTTCACTTTAGCCTGAAATGACTGCAGATTGCCATCCCCAGACAGAGCAGCAAGAGGCAGGTGTTCACTGTCCTCATCCCCATGAACTGGGGGTACCAGCAGGACACCTGTGTGTCCGGGCACTGTGGTGGCAGTGAGGACAGAGCCGCCCTGCCAGGTGCCAGATGAACACCCTAAACATAGGTGAGAGCTGCATCTCCTGAGGCTGCTTTGAGAAGTTTTTTCCTTGCATTTGTAATTTCCCTTCACCTATAGGCTGGACAGGGAGCTGTGATGGAGGGACCATCCTTACCTGATTGTGTTCTTTCTTACCCACAGTCTTCTTTATGCTGCTGACCCTGCTGTAAGTGGCACTGGAAGTTTTCTTCATCTTCCCTCTTTCTGTAGTGCCTGTTCCATCCCCAGCTTTGACTGTAGCACATTATTCATGCAGAGCAGCATGAAGAGCTGTATCAGAAGGTCCTTCAGCACCAAAGAATGCTGCATAAGGGGAGCAGAGGGAGGCTGGTGACCCAGCTTCTGTGTATGGCAGCACGAGCATGGGTTGCTCCCTCTCTTCTGTGGTTCTGTAGAGAACTTTCAGGGGGTCCTCTCCTGTTAGGGCCCAATTTCAGTACAACCATGAAAGGGAGGAATGACAGATGAGCCAGGATGTCCACAGGGGTGGCACTCAGGTATTGCAGTGCTGATAAGAAGTAAGATTACACAGATAGATTACAGGTGTCAGTGTCACAGCAGTAACAATTGAGATAGCTGGAAATTTCTTTGGGGGTCTTTTTTCTTTAAATATTCAGCACAGAATAGCCTCTGGGTCCTGGCCATAACCTTTCCTGGCTATTGCAAAAATTAACCCTGTCCTGACTGAAACTGGGAGAAAAGCTAGGATACTTTAAAACTGTCTGTGCCCTGCAGGTCCCAAAGGTGAGGCCATCTCCCAGTAGGAGGAGCAGCAGTAGGAGTTTGGAGTTGGTGGGGCTGACATGTGTCAGAAAGGGGGGTAGAAGCAAAGAGCTCTATAAGCCACGTGTCTGTAAAGCTGGCGAGGCAGACTGCACTTCACTTCCACTCCCCAGTGATGCCAGATGTTCTCGTCCCATGAGCCACGACTCCCCCTGCAATATCATTTGCTTCTGTGTACTGATACTATGCCTGCTGCCAGCCCATGGCACTGCTCTGCTTGTTAAACCCCATGAACTTGATCCCAAAATGATGCTCTGCATCACTGCCAGGGTACATGAGTTCTGCTGACCACCCACGGGCAGCCCAGGCCGTGGAGATGGGAGACAACACCTGCTACTCCACATCAAAGTAGCCTGTTCTGGTAGTCACTTTTCACATCTATTCCTCCTGCAGCACCAGCCTGAAATCTTGTCCCTGTGCCCCACATTTTCTGCAGGGTCTAGAAGGGCAGACATAAGGCCATGGGGTAGGGCACAGCAGAATTGTGTCCAGTTCCTGATTTTCCTGTGTTTCCTATACTTTATTTCCACAGCTTTTGCTGCCCGAGCCTGAGGAGCAGGTCCTTTTGGTGTTTGAGTAACATGCAGGATGCTGTTAGCCAGTCATAACTTTGCACAGATGCTCTGGCTACGAGTTCAGGAAAGATGTTCCCTCATCTCAGCACTGTCAGTTCTCATTTCAAGGGCGACAGCACCATCTAGTGATCCCAAATCAGCTTCCTACATCGCTGCCTGCCTTCTCCTGAGTTTCATCCATTCCCCAGATGTCCCAGGTGAGGTTTGTCTGTCTGTGCCTACCTACTATGCCCTTCCTACCAGAGAGTTGTTCACTGGAAGGTCATGCATGGGGAGGCTGATTGCCATTGGCCACAGTCACAGACCTCAGAGCTGGGATGGCGTGATCCAAACTAAATCTCAGGCCAGAAAACGTGGCAGAGCTGTGTTCCAGACCTGACTTGGCTCAGTGAGAATCTTACCTGCCCTTTTGGGCAGATTCCACATTTAAAATAAATCTGCCCAGGGAAAGAAAATAATCCCTCTCATCCTTCCCTTGGTTCTCTGCTATATTTGACCTCAGTCAACATGTGTAAGGACCTCAAGCACACCAGTCAAAGGTGGTGCTTTGTCCCCAGGGTCCCACCAGCACTCACAGCTCATAATACAGATGTCAGGAGAGTGAGAAGCTTGGCCAACATTATTTCTGATCTCTCAGCTTAGAGCACAGGTAGACAGGCAACCCCATACCTCCCAAGCACAGTGGGCCCTTCTGTTCTTTTCTACATCATACCCCCTGCAAAAAAACCCACCAAAAAAATCTGCTGGACCTACAGACAGACCTGGAGAGGCTGATGTGTTATTACCATCCCAGCTCCTGCACTGCTGCATTTCATCCTCTCCACAAGAGTCTCTGGGGTCCCTGTGGTGGATAAAAAGGCACAAGGGCATCATGTTGATGG